ACCTTTTATCAGCGTCCTCTATGGGTTCTCTACAATTGTCGACTATGGGGGATCGGTTCTATAAGGGCTTCAGGGTTAAGGGCTTGAAGGTCCATGTGCCTGTAAAGTATATGCTAAGGGAATAAAGTTCCTAAATGGGACCCCGTTTACAGACATAAGCTAGGTTCGTGAGTAGCCCTTCATCATAAGGATACCCTTTTCTTCTACACTTTCAATTTCAACATGGGGACCCAAAAATGAAAGGGCAAAAGGGTACGACTCGGGAGCCTAGTAGACCCTAAACTAATATAGATCCGGGATACCTTATTTTAGGGGTCCTCATAATAAGGACCCTACTATTTTAGGATACTATATTAGGGCCCCCTATTTTCGGAAACTCCTATGTAGATCCCTTATAGAGCCCTTTAAGGATCCGAACCCTTGGTGCTACTCAGGAACCTAGATGCTATATAGGCAACATGGAGCCTCAGGGGATCTGGGCCCCTACACAGGCACTGCCTGAACCCTCCAGTCTTTAGGGTTCCTTCGGTTGGTTTCCTTGGAAAAAGGTTAATGTGGGGTCTTAAACCCTAAACCCCGAACCCTAAACCCTAAACCCTAAACCCTAAGGTAAGTTAATTTGTGTTCAGGCGAAACTTAAACCCCACCCGGCCCGAAACCCCACAAGATGAAACCCCGAAAACCGGAACAGTCCACCCCGACAGGGAACCCTAAACCTTAACCTAAATCAATCCCTGCATCCCTAAACCCTAAAGCCTTGAACCCAGAAATCCCTACCTTAACCTCAGATGACCTACCTTTTTGAGGACTTATACAAAGAAATCATATTAGGGAACCCTAAAAAGGTAGGTTCCTTAGGGTCCAGGTAGACCCTATTTGAAAAGAAATCGTGCCAAGGCTCATCTCGAATCGACCCCGCACGACGTAGTCGTGCCCAGGTTGCCTCACGATGCTTTCACCTGGGTGGTCAATCAAAATGATGGGCCCTTTTTGGGTACCCGAAATATTATGTGCCGTACTATAATAGGGACCCAAAAAGGGGATCATAATTTTGACAACTACCCACCTCCGCACTTCACCACCCCATCGCCTCTGTGGCAATGGCTGCGATATAGGGTTTTCAGAGCCGTTTGGGGTACTTTTGAAGACTCCTGCAAGAGATCCATAAAGGCTTAGAATTCAGGGCGGATAGAGGCTTCGGTTTTGGGTTTAGGCTTTGCGCCCCAAGATTTCGGGTTTTTGGCTTGGGTTTGGGGCTTAAGGATTATGGTTAGTCATGGTGAACCAGATAGTAATCCTGAGCACATCTGAGCACTATGTAACACTACGACAGATGATGACATCAACTACTTGTGAGTTCGATGCTGTTAGCATAATCAGAACGACGGTTGCTAGGACCTTCTGACTACTACTACGCCGTTTGTGTGCACAATAACCTTACCTTATCTACTCCATACGACGGTAAAAGGACGTTTAACAAAAAAACAGATAATACCAACTTATGCTGGAAGTTTTTGCCACGACCGGCCTTCATTGCCTCTGTCGGACACCATTCCTTGGCTGAGTAACTGCAAGGCCGTTGGTCAATGAACTCACAGGGTCCGACGGTTGATGATATAAATCCTAAGGTTCCTTCAGAGGGATCTATAAGGGTACCCTTTAAGGGGCTCATCTATGAGGGTTTAGGGTTGGTGATGTAAATCCTGCATGACCCATAATAAGGAATATACCATAATTCCCACATATTCCTTATTGTGGGTAATGCAGGATTTATATCATCAACCGCAGTAGTTCATTAACCTAGAGGCTCCGAGTAATGGGAGATTCCTCAAGTTAGGGGTGCCTTATTTGGGGGTCCTTATAATAAGGATCCTTGTATTTAGGGTGCTACATTAGGATCCCCTATTCTCGGAAACTCCCAAATACCAATTGTTAGGGCCCAATTTCCATACCCTGAATGGTTTTTGGACCTTGAAACCCTACTATTTAGGTACTTGGACCCTTAGGGTCAGGACTCGAGTTTAACTTAGAAGGCAGTTTAGTCGGAGAGGAAAGTGGCTGAAGGTTTATGAGTTATGAGCACAGCTCCGGTTTAGGGTTTAGGATCTCAATCTGTGCACTTTGAGCACCAACTACGCCCCGCATGTTGATCAGAGACCCAAACCTCCTATACCCTAACTCCCAAACTCAAAAAACCCGAGCCCCCGACCTCCCAAACCACCTGAACCCAAAACAATAAGCCCTGCACCCTGGACCCTCAAAGAATTAAAAAGCTCAAGTATTCCTAAAAACCCTAAACCCTAAACTCTTAAACCCTCAACCTCCAAACAACGTGGAGCAAGGGCTCGGCATTGCTTCGCAACATCCGACAGTCCCACCGGGTGAAGGTCAATCTGGTCCTCGATCTTCAGCGATCTACAGTTGATGATACAAGCCCTGCATTACGCATTAGAAGCAATATACCATAATTCCCATAGTTTAGGGTCATTAAGGTAATGCAGGATTTTATACCATCAGCCGTAAGGGCTTTTGGAGAGGGGATTTAGTTTTGGACTCCAAACCCTAAATCCTAAGCCGTTATGAGGGGATGGCTTTGGCTTTAGGGTCCGGTCCACGGGTTGGAGTCTCTGGGATAATAAACCCTAAACCCTAAACCCTAAACCCCAAATGCTGAGCACTTAACCCCTGGTCTTCATGAACATCTACCATGCAATAGCCCTCATGGCTTCTAAGTGTGGCTTTCTAGGGCATAGCAATGGGTTCCCGTAAGTAAGGGAGGTTCCTGAGAAACGAACCGTGAGTTTTGGGATATTGAAGCCGGGAACCGAGCAAAGAACCGAATGAATCCCGTTGTGAACCACCCTCGGACCCTTACGTTTTAAAGCATATGGGTGGTTGTCAATGTTAGGGTATCTTTTTGGGTCCTTTTTATAATGCGGCACCTAATATTTAGGGTACCCAAAAAGGGATCCTGTTTTCGGAAACTCCCATATACATCCCTGATTAAGGCTGGCATAGCCCATTATACTGCAACCCGAAGCCAGGCCTTCTGCTTCAAGAATCTCGAAACCAATATGCTTTGAGCTCTCTATTCTGACTTCTTTAACTCAATCCTACCTACTTGTCGGGTATCATGTGGAAGTAAAGGTTAACCGTTTCGGTTATATCTGGATTATATATGGGCTATACTACCCCCAAAACGCTTAAATGCTACCTTCTACTACTACTACTACTACTACTACTACTACTACTACTACTACTACTACTACTACTACTACTACTACTACTACTAGGTTACCCAGTAGCCTAAGAATAAAAAGGCCTCTCTTTTTGGTATTGGGTAACTTTATAAGGATCCTAGGACCACAAAAGGGAATAAGGGTACTACCGGGCATCCTAGTAAACCATCCAAACCCTAAACCCTAAACCCTAAACCCTAAACCCCTAAACCCTAAACCCTAAACCCTAAACCCTAAACCCTCAACCCAAACCCTAAACCGGGGTTTCAGCCGACCCAGAACCCTCAACTCCAAATCCCTTGGAGAGCCTCTGTAGGTCCCCCAAAATTGGGGTCGAGGGCTCCTTGAAAGGAGTCTATATAAGGATTACTATAAGGAGTATTATGGGGGTTTAGTATAGGGGCCTCAGAAATTACCTATACTACCTTAGCTGCTGAGTTCATGAGCCCCAAAAAGTGTACACTTTCAGTTTTATCGGGCTAGTAGTTGCCCAAAAAGTGTGAGGTGTATCCACTCAGCTACTAAGCTACATTGCAGGGGTTCCTTATTCTACTTATAGTATCAAGGACCCCAAGACCCTATTCGAATTATTAAGGCTCCTATATGGTACCCTTATAGTGCCACTATGGTAACCCTTACAGACCCCTTTAAGGGGGCCCTATTCTAGCTATAAACCCGGAGGCTCCATGAGTATAGTACAATTATGGAGTTAGGCCTCAAAAGACCATCCTTATCACCGTTTTAGGTTCCTAATTCCATAGTGGTACTGTATATGGAGCCTCTAGGAAGGGCACCAATATTGCATGATCTCTGAAACGAACCCAAAAATCAAAACGAAGCCTCTGCAGGAAGCCCTTGTAGGAACCCTTAAAGAAGGCCCTGACCCCCGAAAGGAGCCCTTAAAGGAAGCCCTTAAAGAAACCCTTAAAGGAACCCTTAAAACCTCCACCTAAACCCTACACCTCGAAACCCCCAAATCCCTAAACTTAAAACCTCCACCCTCAGTCCGGTCCTTGATGTCTGGATTTGCACATAGACTTGCCTCGGCTGGGCGGAAGTTGCGGATTCAGATTGCCCCCAAAGGGTCCAAACAGTGCCGAAAAAACGAATATGTTTTCGGGTTGTATGGAAGCGTGACGGGGTTTGATGGGATTCTGAAGGTACTTAAGAGCCCTCGGCGTGGGTTGTAACTGGGGTTATACCGGCCCTAAATATGGTTATCCTAGTTATCCTGGCTATAAACTAAGTCCCATTGTACTTAAAAAATCAAGGGACTTGGTAACTAGGGGAATAATTAGGGTAACTATACTTATAACCCCAATTAAGGTGCTTATAACCTTACTTGCTAATTAAGTCTCATGAACCTCCAAGTAGCCCCTAAACCCTGAACCTTAAACCCCATAGATCCCTTAAAGGAGCCCTTTAAGAACCCTTTTAGGAGCAGTT